CCCCCCCCCCCCCCCCCCCCCCCCCCCCGAATAACTTGCCCACTGCTTGGGGATGGGGCTGGGAAGCCCTGCAGTCTTGCAGCACGGGGGGAAGGTGGAGTAGCCCTGCCCTGCTGCCCCCCTTTTTGCCCTCCCCTCCATCCTCTGCCTCCCCCTCTTGCCCGTGCTCCAAGACAGCAGGGCTTCCCAGCTTTTTCTCTGCCTGCCGGTGCGTTTTTTGTTTGTTTGCTTTTGTTTTGCGGCGAGCCTGCCAAAATCCTGGAGGCTGCTCAAAATCATGTTTTCCGTGAAAATTGCCCAGTCACGATTTTGGTAGGTCCCTGCTAATAAAGAACGATCCTTCTTGGTGAAGGTATACCTTGGCAGGATGACTTGGAGAAACTTGTATTTTCCAGACTACCTAGATTCCCACTGTCCTCTCAGTTACTTGGGTCTGTAATCTTCAAGCCATAGCTATCTCTAGGCCCAGACATGCAGGCCACGATGAAGCTTTTCTGTTTCTATCTGCATGAGCCCTAACTTGCAGAGCAATAAGTCCCAACTTCTTGGTCTGACCACAACTTGCTCCTCTCTATCTGTTCACCGGGTCATCTTCCTCCAGCACCAAACGCAAGCCAAGGAGGCCTTGAAGGCTTTTCCTCGCTTAACCAGTCCGATCTGGCACCTCCGCCCTTGCTCTCCCAATGAAGGCAGGGTGGGCTGTGGTTTTCTCAGGATCCTCTGTCTACTCCCCAGATGCCTGGCCAAACTCTCTGGCTACATACATAAATCTGTCATCCTCCAGTTATTTGGTATTATCATCTCTTTTTAAACCCTTTCTGCAATTCTTGCTTCAGCCATTTCTCCTACAAACTCCACCTGCATGACACTCATTGGGCAAGATTTTGGCTTTATGCTCGGCACGGTTTGTTTTATTGTTATCTCCCTGTCGATAACCCCTCACATGCCTGTTTCTCTCGGTTTTATCTGTCCTGTCAGACATCTGGTTTGTGAACTCTCTGGGGTGGGCCTGGCTCCTTTCCTCCGTGTCCGTACGATGTCTCACACAATGGGCCTCTGGTTCCCGATTGTTTTAGCAGGAATAAATACTACGTTCGCTTCAGAAGAAAAGTGGCGTTCGCCAAGCCATCCAGCAGAGCAGATGCCTCGGGAACTGAACGTTTAAAGGAACGTAGGAAACGACTCTTTGAGGTTTACATGATGGTGCCTATAAGGCTGCCTAAGGAAAGGGAGTCAGGCAGGCTTGTATAATTGAGAAAGCTGAGCAATGAGGAGACAGGTGAACAGAGTCCAAACTCGGGCATCTCTTTACAACAGACTGCCGTTCTTCCAGGCAGAAAAGATCCCCGTCAGAGGTGTTGATGTGGCTGTCTGGGTGGTGATGTAGTACTTCTGTGTGTCACATTATCAGAGTCCTTTCACCTTTGCAAATGCAATCACGTTATCTCATTAGCAGTGCAAGCCCTGTGGTGACCTTTGTTCTGACTAATTGGAGGAATAAAGTTCACCAGTAAAGACTGGAAGGGGTTTTACTGGTTCCTCTTGTGGGAGGGGACCAGGCAAGCACAGTTGTGTTCGTGGTGCCCTGCAGGGAAATCACATGCTAGGCTCCTGAGAGCAGAGCAAGGCACAGACCCGGCAGCTGGCTGAACCTCGGCTGAGACTTCCCCTTTGGCTCACTTGCCTTTCTCCGTCCCTTGCAGCTGCGTAAATGAGTATGGAAGATTATGATTTCCTGTTCAAAATTGTTTTAATCGGCAACGCCGGCGTGGGGAAGACCTGCTTAGTCCGACGCTTCACTCAGGTAGGCTGTCACTTTGCTTAATGGGGAGCAACGTGCTTTTGGGGCAGCTGCTGTGTAAAGCCATTTGAGCAAGTAACTGGCTGCAGTAGCTGGGGCTGTGATTTGGGCTGCATGCCAGGCGGGTAGAGGTTAAGCACGTTGGCTGCATTTCCTAAAGCAGTGTGTCATTGTAATGCTTGTACTGAGGAGTGGTAGCATAACTAGGGGGAGGTGAGTGGGCACCAGCTCTGGGCATCTTTAGAGGTGGCACAAGAATGGCAGCTGAGGACCTGGGCACTGCCACTGCCTAGGGAGCACGACTTCCTCATTACACTTCTGCTGGGGAGGGTGGTATCATGTCTCGCCACTGCTCTCTGTGTCCTGTAGGGCTTACCAAGTCATTCAAAATGGACCCCAATGGATGGCCTTCTCCAAAGCCCTGTAAAGCAGTTTGGGAAGACTGCCACTGAGACTGAGGGGCTTTGGATCAGGCCTAGATGGGACACAGAGATGGAAGTACCCTCTTGCTGCATTTCGCCAGGGTGCCTTCCCTGTCGTGCTCCCTCCAGGTCTGGGGGGCTGCGGGTCCCATGCGATGGAAAGCTGTTGTTGCTCCTGGTAACTAATAGTACAATTGAGAAATTCAGCTGCCAAGCCAGCACTTTTCATCAACTTCACACATCCTTTGGAAATGAGATATTTGGAGTCTTTTAAAGGGTGTCTAACAATAGCTTTAAAGAACTGAAAAAAAATAGAAGACCAAATGTGGCCTTGCAAACTTTTGGTTACCTCTGTGAGCCACATAGCTAAACTCTCGGAATAGAAATGGGTTAAATCCCTGCCTGCCTTGCAGAAAATGAAATAAATCCAGAAGCTCGTGGACCGGCTGCCTTGTAAAATGATCCTGCCTCCAGGGTGGAGAGGGGAGTCTGTGTGATGCTTTGTATAACATGAGTTGTTTTTTGGGAGGGCAGTGGCAGCTGTGTCAGCATTTTCCCTCATGATTTGGTTTTAAAAACACCTCTGGAAATCACAGGCTGGCCCTTCTCTCCCTCTGCTAGTAAGTAGCTAGGTGTGCGAGAGCCCAGCCTGAGGGGTTAAGTGCAAAATCTGCTGCTGCTCCGGCTCCGGCAGCGCTACTGCGACCACTGTGATCAG